GTCTGGTAGACTGCAGGAGCTGGGAGAAAATGTGAGGAATAAGGCTTCTACCACAGATGGTCTCCCTTAAAAATACAGTACTAAGTGAGCAAGGGGAGTATAGTTTTCATAAGGTATTGATACTGCAACAGAACCTCGAGTTTTATTTGAACAAGGAGGAAAAATACCATGGGGGATGAGGTTATATGTTGTTACTGCCTGGTTCTACTGCAGATTAACTGCTACTGGCAAATGGGAGAGTGTCTTACAGTCTAGCAGTGTATTTATGAGGGCAGTTGTCAGCAGGAATGGCAGTGAAGAAATATGTTCATATGTGACCCTTGAGAACCTCTGAGCAAGTTACTGATTTGACTGGGTAATTAAAGAAACAGAGATGGGAGGCTGCAGGGTGGGCAGGGAGGGCTGAAAAACCAGCCAAATTAAACTCCACAAAAATGTTATCTCAAATTCCACTTCAAGGTCATTGATTACACTGAGGAGAATTGTTCAGTCTAAGTCTATTCATCCTTACAGTAAACTGCTTTGTGTGGTGTTTATGGAGGAAAAATGACATCAATATGATGCATCTGAGCTGGATGAGATCAGAATGCAAGGAACCTCCTGGTAAAGTACAACCTGCGCACTAGCTACCCTATTACTGGCATGAGGCATGCAGTGGAAAGACTGTTTCAGGTAAAGGAGGCTCAACCAGGATCCCCCTCACCTGGGATCTATTTGAGAGCTAGTGTTAACTTTTTGGATAAATTATAGATAGGGTATTGCAAATACCATATAATGAGCTGGTGGGGGGAATGCCCCTCTCAGAGATTTGTTCTTTGGCTTTTATTTTGGCAGCAGCTGATGTTTATCTACAGTAGAATGTGTTTATGATACTGAAAGGTGGGGTCAGGGGAAGGATCTCTGACACAGCGACTAAAACATCTTTTAGGGAACTGCCTCAACCTGCTCTTGAGGATCTGTACATACACTTTAGAGGTGAAGAAAGAGGCATATAATATACAGAAGGTCTAACTGACACCTCCCTGAGATGATGTCTAGATAATTCTGGCAGCAATTGAAGATCTCAGGCTGCACCTGAAGACTGTGAATGAGTGGCTGCTTGTGCTGGATGAAGAGGTGTTTTGGATCCTGTCAGCACCTGCACAGCTGCTTCCTGATTTTCTCAGCTCCAAGCACAGGCTATGGTAATCACTCTGAAATTGCTCCCAGTATCACCTTGTTTTTCCCAGTGTTTAGGCACAGTACAGCTGAGTGATCATCCCCCGAGCCAGTATAGCCAGATACATTTCCCCAGAAACGCTAACGAGAAAAGCAAAAAAAAGCCCTAACCTGAAAATGTATTGTGGTGACTCCTTCTCCCTGAATAAGGAGGAGCAAATTCCTACTGAAAAGCTATACAGGAAGCAAAAAGGCTAACTAGTCTTGTGAGCTCCTGGCAAGCAAAGACAAGTGAAATGTGCGTGAACTAAACACAACTGTTTAAAAAACTTGTCGGTCTAGTAAATGGAAGAAAAATTTCTTCCCATTTTCCTGCCACCATCACCGTAAGAAATCACTTAGGGACTAGAAACAGGTTGCAGAGCTACCAGCTGGTAGAAAGACGGTCTAGGATGTACAGCAACATGACTAAGCTTTCTAATCAGAAATACTGCGTGTAGGTACTGTAGCTAATAACAAATGCTGCATTGAGTTTCCTCAGACAAAATATCCAGCTAGGGTAAGGCCATTTCTGCACTGTAGTTAATGGGCAATCCTATTCTCTAGGATTCAATGCTTTCTTGTTTTCCAGACTGCTGCCCTGTGCACCTAAGGATCAACTCCAACCTTTCCTGTCAAACACTTGAACATCACACAAAGTGACAGTTACCTTTGTAAAAACCCTGAGATTGTCCAGTATTTCAAGTCTTTCACACTCTGTAGCTAATGTGGGGCTTCTCACATATCAGACTGTGACTTAAGAATGAGATAGCTGAAATCTTCCAAACCTCCCAGGAGTGGGGTTACAGAGTTAACTGTCACCATCATCCACATCCTTCTGTGACTTCTGTTTGTGGATTTAGACATGTGTTGTTTCTTAAAAGGAAAGAGGCTTACATTTCATTGCTTTTATATCTCAACATATCTTACCTAATGTCAAGATTCACTTTATGCCGCTATTAAAACATTTTTTAAAAAACCAAAAATGTAGATCTTTGTTAAATCCAGAGCAGTGCTGACCTGCAGAGCCCAGCTCCCCTTTAAGCAATGAGGTAGCATCGGTCTTTTCACTGGGATTGTACAAGCATATTTCAGAAAGATTTGTATCTTTATGCTCAAAATCTTGAATATGTCATTCAGTTAGTGTTATGCTGGCCTCCCTATGCCCTGGCTTGTTCTAGGAGTGTTTTATTACCTTTTTTTTTTTTTTTCCCCCACAACCCTATCTATCTGATTCACACCCTTGCCTTCTCATAGAAACATGTGAAAGGACACAGACCAAGAGTGGTATCTCTTCTAGGATGAGTACTAGCACATACCAGGCTGCACACATGGTGATGTAGACTTCTCATTCACCCATTCATATGTTACCCCTTTGTTAGATAAGTAGTGAATTATCTAATTTAAAAAAAACCATACTACTGCTGCAGTTAGGTATTTTGATGAAGTTCTATTTATCTTTTAGAAAAGAAGTCCTGTCTTGAACTCAAGCAATTATTTCCTTGTGCTTCTTGCCTAAGCCTCTTTCAGTTAGAATTCTGTCTGAAAGGTTTCTCCTCTTCTCAATGTTGTTACCCATGTGTTTTGGTAATGGGACATTCTTCTAATCTTCTCAACTTCTTTACTTTTTACCTCAAATACAGCTCCATCTAACAGCAGCTTCCATTTGCCACATAGCCCTGTTTTGGCTGTATGAAGAAACTTCTTTTTCTCTTTTGTTTTTCTTTCCTTTTCAAACACATCCAGAAATGAAAGGTGGCTGTTGATCTCTGAAAACTTCAAGGATTGACACACAGCCCATAACAACTCTTGTTCTTTCCTGGGCTCTCATTACCTGAAACAGATGGTAGAAAAGAGGTGGAGTCCTGCAGGATGTCTTCCCCGAGGAAATCAATCGCTTTTAGTGACTTGTAAGACATATATTGCATTTTTTAAAAAATCTTATTTAGAGAAAAGCACTTCTTAGACTTTCCTGCAGAATAAAAATGGCTTAAGCTTCTGCCCAGAATTCTGAAATCAGCTTCAGAGTTTTATAATCCCACTTGGAATCTTCACAGATATATTTATTTGTATATTCTCCTATATATCCTCACATATGGAAAAAATTTTACAGCAGGCCTGTGAAAACTCCTCACTTGTGCTAGGAACTTAAAAAATGCTACTCTGATAGGTAACAAAGTCAGAAACATCATTAATTTTGTGTCAAATATGGAAAATATGCTTGAATTAACATGAGCTGTACTCTGTACTACAGAGCTTGTGGATATCCTGGACCAAAATATCTTCTTGTCTTTCTGTGCTGCATAACACATGTAGAATATTTAAAAGTAATCAGACTGTTCCAAATCAATATGAAATTCCCATTGAAAACATGTGAAGCTGGGATATAGCCTATCTCTTACTATTATAAAACTGAGATTCTTCTCTAAAAATGAGGCCAAAAGGTACTTCCTACTATGTGTGTCCCAGCATATAAATCCATCTAAAATGGTTTAAGCTTGTTTCAGTACACATAGCTCAGCACATTGATCCAGCTCTTGCGTATCTACAGCTTCAGAAGCTCAAGTGTTTCCAGTAATCTCTGTATGCTTTGAACAAGGGATCTGGCACAAATTTCTCACTGTATAATCCATATTAACATCACTGGATTCTTTTACATCATTTTGGCTTCATACTTGAGAAAGTGGGGACAAAAGTTAGCCTAAAGTGTGATTTGGTGCTGAGGCAATTTGATAATGAACATGTTGTCTCCTCATCAGTGTCCCATATCTGAAAAAGTAGATCAAGCGCTGAAAAGGTCTTTGTTCCCCCTGTGCTTCATCTGGAACATGGTGTGCAGTGCAAACTCAGTCCAGAAAAAGCATCTTGTTCTTACGAGTTATTTTAAGTTTATTATTATTTTATGTTGGTTGTTATAGTAATATATTACACAATCAGTGCATTTTATATTAATACATTACTAGTAATATATTAATATCATCAATGCATTTATTATTATCAAATTTTAAATACAAATATTGTTACAATAGCTGACCCTGCTCCACTGAGAGAAGAGCTTTGTTACCAAAGTCAGGAGAAGTAGAATCACATTCTTGAATGAGCTGCAGTGGTGGGGGAAACAACTAGAACTAGAACCGGTAAATTATCTTGATTCACACACAAAACAAGGCTTTAAATAATTTTAAGCAGAAGTGATGACCAAAATCAGTTTGTAAGGATAAAGTCCAGATGTCTCTGAATGTCACAAAGTATTATGTTTATTTTTTCCTTACTGACTTCAGAAAGGAAAGAAATCCCAGGAAGCTAGAAGGCTTTCAAATAGATAATAAATTAACTACTGAGGTGGAACAAGGATGAGCCATACATCAACAGAAACAACCTGAGCACAGACAGGGTCTCCATCTAGATTAGAGAATGGGTCAACTGATAAAGCCAAGAGAATTAAAGAAAGATGGACAAAGACCAGACAGCTCCTGAAATAAACTGCAATTGGATGTACTTGTTATGTTAGAAATATAGGACAAGATCTTCACCTGGTGTAATTGGCATAGCAGCATTGCAGCTGATCACGCTGCATGACTGTATGCAGCAGTAGATATTGGTCTGTGTGACTTTTCTCAGACTCTTATATTCACATTGAAAGTGTAAAGTATCCGTTCAGTGCCATAGTTGCCATGCAAAGGCAACTTTAAATTTCACAAAGTATTTTATTCCTAGGCAATCCAGTAAATTAGTTTAATGGACATATGTTTTTTTTATAATAAAGAATATTTCTAAGTAATATAAGTTCTTTCATCCAGCTTCTTCTTAAATGGTTTATTTTTATAATAACAAAGTGGAAAGCAATGAATTATACTGAACTTTTTACCATTCTCAGGTCTTTATTACAGAAAACAATCTCTAGGATTCAAGATGCATCCAACATTCGGGACTACTAAAAGTTGTTTGGGGACAAGGGCTAAACAAATGGGCTAAGCCAATTTTGCTCTTTCCTCACCAGTAATCAAAACACTCTGCACCACCTTTTACCCTCCCCCTTTCTCGTATTCCTCTTGCACCCAAATTCTTTAGATGGTGGTCTTGTTTCTCCAGGCTCAATAGGATTGGTGAGTGTAAAAGACTTAACCATGCTACCTTCCAGTTTCTTGATGACTGCATTAATAGTGCTCAAGAAGCCTGGTTCTTCCCATAACTCTTTCAAATCTGTGGGGGAAAAAGCTTATGTAATAAAACAATAAATGATCATAGTAAAGGATGAGTGACCTTACAGAACAAGTTCTGGCTTTTCTGCAAGCTTCAGAGCCTCATGCATCCCTGCAGCTGATAGTTTCCGGTTGATATTCCTATATCTGCATTGCAGGAGGTTGCGGTAAGTTGTCCTCAGGTCCCGATTGAAGAAGGCATATATAAAAGGGTTAATGAGAGAGTTTGCATAACCCAACCATAGAAATGTTCTCTCAACCCACAGTGGGATACAGCTGCATGCTGTACCACAGATGAAGGGCCTGGCAGTTGAGAGGAGGAAGAAGGGCAGCCAGCAGACAGTGAAAGCCCCAACAATAATCCCAAGCGTAGTTGCAGCTTTCTGTTCTCTTTTAAAAATGGAAATGTTTTTCTTGTCGTGCTTTAGGAGTCGTGAAAAATTAGTACATTCTTCAGATTCCTTGTGCAGTTTTACAACTCCATTCATAGAAATGCCTTCCATTTCTTCTGGCCGGGGAAAACCAGCAAACTTATGTTTAGCAGCACTCCTCTTGGCAGCTTTGTAAATCTGGTAGTACATGAAAAGCATCACTGACATTGGAATATAAAATGCAACTGCTGTGGAATAAATGGTGTAGCCAAAGTCTTGACTGATCAAACAAACCTTTTCATCATTTACATTCTGGGCCCAACCAAAGAGTGGAGGTATAGTGATAGAGGCAGATAAGAGCCATACACAGAGGATCATTTTGGCCATACATTTCCCATTCTGCCTTACAGGGTACGTAAGAGGTCTTGTTATTCCCAGGTACCTAGAACAATAATGTAGAGTTACTATATAGTGCAGTGGTTAACTGATAAAAGTTATTTCAAATAGTTTGCCCTAAACCAAACCATCTTTGGCCAAGATTTCTATTTTACATTTTTCAATCCTCTACTTGCATGTATTTCAAACTTGTAAATTAATGTGTCGTTCATGTTACAATTTATAGCGGACATATTCTGTATAAACGGTCTTTTATTCTAGCAGGAAATCTCCCATTGTCCATAACAGACTGTGATTTTAATGAATTTGTACAATCTTCATGCAGATAACTAATTTTTTGGTTTTTAAGGAAATTCAGATAACTAAATCTTATTCGGCTAACTTATGAAATCTTGGAGTATAGATGAACACTCACTCCACAAAGCCTACCACTTTTTGTACTGAGTGCATGATTAAGTTAAAACAAGCATACATTCATCTTTATTCTTCTTACATATTCAACAGTTATGAATATCCCTGCCACTAAACTGATGAGGAGCTGTCTTTCTTACCTTCATGTTTCAGATGGGAACAACAGATCACAAACTTATCCCAAGAGTAGATTCTTTCAGTACTAAAATAATTATTTTTATCATCATTTAATTAGAAAGAAATTATATTTATTCAATGTTTAAACATTTACTGAACAAAGTAACAATCTATTGCAGTATCAGTTTAAGAAGACTGGGGGAAAAACATAGTTTGACCAGAAGCTAAGTTTAGTGTGGTAAATTGTAACCAGACAAGAAAAATGTTCATAATGGGTCAAGTTTTCATAGGAGAGGAAAAAAAGAAAAAAAAGTGTTGACAACTTCTACCTTTCCTAAGATGTGGTAGCTTCAACTGTGTATTTTTTCCTAATTAAAAAAATATCACTACAGCCCTGTATAGCTGGGCAGCAATATCCTAAGTTTGTGTTTACTCTCAGCCACAGAAAATGTCTTTGTTTTCTTTTTAGTTATAGAAAGTTTCTCTTAGATGGAATTAAATGCTTTTTTTTACACTTAACATTTTTACTTTGAAATTTGGTTTCTGTTCAACTGGAACTTAGCTATGAATTACCATTAACTTCTCAAATTGTTCTTTTTTTTTCCTCTTCCCAAAATAAAGAATTTTGAGAAAATCAGTGTGATTCACTTTGTTACTTGTAAAAGAAATGGTTTCAAATCAGGTTTCAGAACAATATTTTGGTTTCAGGAAGTGCCAGTGTTTAGTTACACAGTGAAGGTTTTAGAGGGTTACAAACAAGAAATATAGTAACATGATTAAAAATATTTTGGGGGAGCATTTTTTTCTCTCTCTGTTCACCTAGCAAATCAAATATGAGTATTTGCCTGGCTCTGCAGAACGCTGCATTGTTGATTTTACTGCAATGCAGTAAATTATGGCCAGTGCTGCTGCTTTATACAAGCACCCAGGTATGCTACAGTCCTGGAGGTAAAAAGAATCATCATTTCATGATCTGTTCTGATGAGTAACAACAATCCTCCTCAACAGTGTCACTGATTTTATATTACTTCTATGGCGTTACACAAAGGGCAGAACTGGTTTATTGTGCCTTATTCTCAACAGCACACGTAAGTATTTTGCCAGTGAAGCTCTGCCTGGTGGGCTGTGAGATAACAGTTATTAAGATTGTCTGGGATTAGAGCAGTGTAATACATGGACCACACTTTAAAAAGGCTGTATCTTGTGCCTCTCACCATCAGCATTAGTTGATGATCAGAACCAGCTCTGGTGGTCATGGGCATACTACAGAGTTCACAGAGATTTCTGTTTTACAGCATCAGGACCAAAATGTTTGCACTCCCAAGGAGGTGAGAGTTTTCCAAGGCACTCCAAGATGTAGAAGGGCAGAGTTAATGCAGGGAAGTTTCAAATTTTAACTACCTAAGGGATACATTGTACTGCTTTAAGTAATGTAACTGCAGCAAGGCTAAGTTATTAGACTCAGCCCTTCTGGGACAAGAGTGACACACATTTAAAATTTGTCTGAGAATAGCACGATTTAACTACAAAACAGTTAAAAACATCCTTTGTGCAGAAAGATTGCTTGTCATTTACAATGTGTTGTTTTAAAAAAATCTTTTAAAAGTTGGTCGACCTTCCTGAAGTATGTATTTTTCTAGCTATTACCCAACTGGTCATTGCACAGTTAAGAGGTGAGCTTTATTGTGTAGCTAAAAAAGTTTAACTGGATTTCTGTAAAAATCAGATCTGGGCTGCATGCTCTGCATGCCTACTGATGCATTCTCATGCATCAAAATATAACAAAAAGAATTCATGAAATTAAAAGTATACTTAAAAGAATTAAATTTCATTAGTTTTGCCCTGGCATCACTTTTTTGGAAGCTATCTGAGCTTCAAAACTGCTATTTGAAATTATGATACATTAATTATAAAATACACCAGCATCCTTTCTGCCTTATCCATTTTGCTAAATGCACTATGATAGGGAAAAGAAGTTAGCAGGCATAAATGAAAGAACCTTATCTTTTTATCTCTATATATGAAATACACTACCCTTAAAATTTACTTGCTTCAAAATAATGTAAATCACTACAGTTGTCTAATACAGTAGAGTGTCCAAGACTTAATAGATTCATGAACTTCAAAAAGTATTGTGTCAAATTCATTGCAAAAATATGCTTTGTAATGCTCAATATTTAATTACTACCTTCCAGAAGAAAAAAAAAAAACCACCAAAAAAAAGACAAAAGAAGACTAAAGGTAAATCAACTGTACTTAATATCTCATTCAAAAATATGTAATATCTTGAGGCCTTGCTGCTGGGAAAGAATAAAGTCAAATTCCCATTTCATGTATCTCAGCTATCCCCCATAAGAAAGAAGTGTGTCAGACTTGTTATTCTGAAATTTGTTTCTTTTATATGCCACAGATGTTCATTTTGATCTTGGTGGGGGAGAAACTGCACCTCAGTTCTCATTCGTAAAAGAAGGGCAATGCTATTTCCTATTCCTCCTCTGACTATATGGTTCTGCCAGACAGAGCATCTATCTGTATTACACCCAGCACAGTGAGGACTATATCTAGGTTACTCCCCAAAAGTACAGTATTTCAAATGCATGGCTCTTATTTCTTATAAACTGGTCATGGCATTTCTCATCCAGCATTGCCTAATGCTGCATGCAGAACACCAAAGTGCAGGATGCTACAGCAAATGATTGTCAGGCAACACTATAAGAAGCACAATGTGTACTCCAGTCACGGTCCAGCTGCCTTTCCAGGAAGAAAGGCTGCTGGATGAGTGGAGAAAAATGAGGAGAACCTGGCACTAGTATCTGGTGGTTACAACAACAAAAAAAAAAGATGATGAGAACTTTTTTTTTTGTACCACAGCACTGAAATTTGGAAAACAGCCCCTTGCTTGAAGAGCTCAAGATAAGAGCAGATAACATAGACCAAAAAGAAGGCAAATGGTGAGGGACAGAGTAAATTTCTTACTGAATGAATGTATGTAAAAACACAAGCACATGCCTATTCTGGGTTGGCTTCTCATGACTTTTTCAGTGTCTCCTCTTTGCCATTGGAGGCACTGATGAAACTGGCTCCTGTGCTGCAGTCCTGTTCAAGCATGAGGCACACGCAGGGTGCCCAGCTCTAAGGAGAAAAAATGATCCTTTTCCATCCTCTTTCTGGAGCTCTGTTCAAACGTAGGTGGGGGTAAAGAGCTCCCTCCTTCGTGGGATGCTATCATCAGCTATCAAATGCAATTGTCATTTGCTATATTTACCCAATGAACACCAACAATGGAAAAAATCAATGAGTAAGTCCTTTCTTTCCTTTTGCTTAATCTGTCTCCCTGTGATCCAGTATTATTTCCCAGTACCTCTAAATTGTTACCATTTAATGACAGGCAATCGTAGAGACAATTTAATGTAAAACCATTATAACTGTATAGGACTGCTCCTGAGATCACTCAGTTTTTTCATTCTGGCTTTTTTGATACTGATGCTTTACAACAACACAGAATAGTTTTTACTTTACCGGGCTAAAAAAGTCTCCATAATTACTTGAACTGTAGATCACACAGGCATTTCTTATTACAGTATGCTTGATATATTACATGTTACAGCAAGTGTTAAGATATAACATATATGGAAAGTAAAATGGTGTATGATAGAGGGAACAGACAGCCGCAGACTCATGTGTCTGTTTCTGGCACAACATTTTGCTCTCTATGACTCTTTGTATTTCCTCTTCCCATTTATGTTTGGTTTAGTTATTTCCTTGTTGTGACAGCTGTCATACATTACTACTTGCACAGTGATTATCAAACTGGAAATTGGACTGCTAGTGTCCCATTAGATGTTACTATATTTAAAAATATGAAAGGTTCAATATGGTTTATTTTCTTGTGAATATATTTATTTCATTCTAATCTAGGAAATTTTGAAAAGTAGTTTGCTTTTTCTGCACTACCATGAAATGAGTTCACATAGCCATCTACTAGAAGAACTTTTTGGGAAGATCTCTCTCATCACCTTCACGTAAATAACTCTCCATTTGTGGCTGAATTGATTAGTAATGCTGTAACAGAAGAAGATACCATTTTTTTCCCTAAGAAGAAAAAATCAGCAGTGACAGGTATGGTAGCATTTCAGGTTAACCAGGCATGACTACTGGTTTTTGTGTGTGTGGTGTGAACCTGATTATTTCAGCAGTAGAAAAACTTGCTTCCTTTTCTTTGTATTTTTTCCACAGGAAGCTAAACATAGCTGTAATATTTAAGCTGTAAAAATGGTGAATTTTTCATAGCTACACTGGAAACTTTGAGATGGGTCTAGCCCTCACACCTTTTGAATTATCCAGAAAGCAAACTGAGACTTAACAGCTACATCAGCTTCAACAACAGAAAGAAAATAGTAATAGGATGGTCCAATTTGGGATCCTGTGTCCAAAATCTTTCTTTATTACCTCTGTTATATGACTAAAAGATAAAGAAAAGTAAAAGGACTTGCTTCTTACTGTGAGCAAAGTCACAGA